CCAACACGGGCGGTGCCGGACCTGCCGCGCCAAGGCCGGTCTCGATTCTCGGAGCCCCGTTTGCTCTCGAGATGTTTCGCAAGCTGCCTGCCTCTGGGTCAGTGGCCGCTGGTACCGTCGAGGCGGCCGAAGTGCTAGGCCTTTGCGACAAGATGCCGGCCCTCGGCGCTTCCATGCTGCCGGAGGCTGTCCGGATTCAGAGCTTCGCAGTGGCGCTGGAGGCGGCAGCCGGCGAGGCCGCCCACACGTCTCTCCGTGGTGAGATCTCAGCAAAAGGTCAGCTGACCCTCGCCGAAGCGACGGCCTTCCTCGGGCGGTTCGGCCAGGCCTTCAAAGCGAGCGCGCCGTCGCCTGCGGCGCCCACTACCCCCTACGAAGCGCTCGTCCGCCGCGTCGACGCCGGCGGGCAGTTTGATGAGTTCATGGAGAAGACCATCCCGTTTATCTGCACCGATGCTGCGCAGCAGCGAGTTGCCGAGGGCGATCAGGCGGTCTTCAAGCAGATGCTTCGCGACTTCATGTCCTCAGGGCTGGCGTCGCTTCCGGAGGCTGGTCTCTCGGCGCTCGCCGGCGGCCCACCGATGGACGCCAGCACGGCAGCCATCTTCATCATGAAGTGCCAGCAGGCCAAGAAGAGCTCGAGTGCTCAGCCGCATGGCGTCGCGCCCGCAGCCTCGGCGCCGCATATCATCGTCCGGAGCGCTGGCGCGAACACTAAGACGGAGCTCGAGGAGGACTCGGACCAGGCGATCCTCGCCGCCGTGTCACAGCTCGACCCCAACGCCAAGGCGCTCGTCAACTCGCTCGCTACTGCGCTCGAGTCTGACGGATCGCCCTCCAACATCGCCGCCACCGTCGAGGCGATCGACGGTCGGGCGGGCGGCAAGCGGGGAGAGGCGGGCGGGCGGGGCGGGGCGGGCCGGCGGGTGATCGGAGGAATCGTGTCCACAATCAGCGGAGCAGCAGCAGCAGCAGCTGCAGCTGCAGCAGCAAGCAGCGGCCTGCCGCAGATTCCTGCCGTTGTCTGCGCCGCGATCCGCCGCCGCGCCGCCGCGCCGCCGCCGCCTGCGCTCGCCGCCGCCTCGTAGACGACTCCTCTCGCGCTCGAGGAGCCGCGCAGCGGGCCGCGAGGTTGAGGTCAAAGTGTGCAGCAAAGTGGCGGTCATGAAATCATCAAAATTTGAGGGG